CTTCATTGCATTGAAAATGACTATATTAGTTCATAACCCGGCATAAAAATACATAAAGATGTATCTTCTTAGCTGCAAATTATACATTTTATTTAGTTATTTGTACTTCAGAAGAGCAAGAGTTACACATTCTATATCTACATTTATTTGTTTATTTTTACAAATATCTTTTTGTGTTTTTAAGCTTTTTATTTTAATTCCAGTTAATTAGCATATATCACATGCAGTTGTATTTTTTAAAATTTCTCTTCCTCAGTGTAAATCTTGAGATAAGAGACATATATATATATATATATATATAGAAATCAGGAAAAAACATAATAAACATTTGTGTTTTACCTAATGAGAAAGCTAAAGCTGTTGTTTGATTGGTATGATACCAATCTCTATCACTGCTGTGAGATTGATTTTATTTATTAAAGTAAATGAGAATTCTTCCTTTAGGGAAATAACAGCAACAACAACAACAACATAGCGATGGCCGTTTTCATTTCAAAGTACTTATTCCAGTGGAATATCTGAGTTTTTTTGTAAAGCAGATAAATCCTATCACTGTATGGAAAGCCTGTGTGCAATAAATCAAAAGGTTTCTTATCTCTTATTTTCTTAATGATATTGATAACCTCTAGGGTTGCTGAGTAAACAAAAGCCTTTCCTTTCCTAACTTTGTGACTTGTCTGTGCTCAAAGGGCAAAATAAGCTGCATATCGCCACAAAGGGTAAACAGCACTTTATTAAAAGAATCAACTGCTAAATGCTCTCTGAATCAAAGCACTTTCCACAAAGCAGAATAACATTAAGTGTTCCCAGAGGAGAGCAAACCTGCAGAGTGGCCACACATGCTCGCGTGCGCGCGCGCGCGCGCGCGCGCACGCACACACACACACACACACACACACTTGAATAGAGGAGCAGGAGTTGATATTAAGTAACACAATTGTTTAAATGTTTATTTTGAGAAAGAGCATGTGCAAGCAAGGGAGGGGCAGAGAAAGAGAGAATCCCAAGCATGCTCTGTGCTGACAGCAGAGAGACTGATGGGAGACTTGAACTCACCAACCATGAGGTCATGAGCTGAGCTGAAATCAAGTCGGATGCTTAACCGACTGGGCCCCGCAGGTCCCCCGATATTGAGGGATATTTTTAAAAGGAAAGAAGGATACCTTGATGACTAAGTTTAGTTTTCTGAGTGCTATAATGTGACCATATGCATGTGAATATAATGTGAGTTTAATTGAAATCAGTAAGAAAAAGGAAAATAGGTATTTTAAGGGATTTTTTAATCCACACTGTTGGTGGGGATATGGTTAGTTGAGAATTCAGTTATTTCTGTTGCCCATTTTATCAACTGGAATTTAAAATTAAAATAATTTATAAAGGTAATTAGGAGTCTGCCGCTTTATTCTGTGTATGTCATTTTATAAATGATTATTTAAAGTAAATCTAAATGTTTGCTAGTTGCTTTCTTTCCTGCTTCTGAATTTCTTTCTCTTCTCAGTCTTGCAAAGAACTGACCTATAATTTATCTTACAGACATTTTCATGAAATTCTTTTGCATTGCATCTTTCAAATCTTTACTTCTGATTTAAACGTAGTTCAGGTACAACTGGGTGAAAGTATCTCTACATTGATACAGTGTATTATTTGTGAATCATTATAAAATACATAGCAAGATTTAGGTACTCCATTGGTCTTCTAGGTAGCTATGAAGGAAGAGAAAGAATTAATTCCTCAGCTCAATAATTTATGGTTTCCAGTATAGTGGCTTTACCTTCTAGAGAAATAAAAGATTACTTATTAAATATCAAAGAAAATTCTGGGTTTGATAAATGGGGTTTTGATCATCCATTAGGCCTATATATATAAAAGTCTATATTCAGCAATTTTTCCTCATCTAGTAAAAATAAAGCTATCCGCATGTTGTAAACATGTGGATATGAAGACTTCCATTAGCAAAACTATCCTAATAAACTCTGCAATGGACTCTGTGCTTTGTATGGATTTCACTGAGCAGAGCCTGATATGAGAGGCAAGTACCTGGGGTAACTCTCCTTAAGGAATGCTAAAATACTTGAAAAAAATCTGAATTAAGGCTTTAATGCACAGATCCACACTCAATCCTCTACAAAACTGGAAAAGAGAAATTGAATCTACATACTCCAAAATAGACAGATTGCTTGAAGTGACAAAAAAAAAAAAATCTTGCATGCATGTTTTTATTATCACAGAATATTGAATAAATATTATAAAAATACTCTTTTGAGAAAGACAAAACACAACAACAAAAACCTAAACCAAACAAACATGCAAACAAAAACCTTTCCTAAGAGTCCACATGTCTCCTTCCAGTTCTGATATTGAGCCCATAAAAGAGGCTCTTGCTGATAATAAGTCCTGGAAAACAAGGGTAGAAGCCTCTGTATTGTAGGTAGGAATGAAGACAGTAGATGGGTGTAGGGTTGTTTGGCCATTGGGACTAAGATGTCATGAATATACAATTCGACCAAGAATAAGTACAGGTAAATAAATAGATGAGAAAGAAGTAAGAAATGAAAGAAAGAGCAAAAGAGATTTTTAAACTTTTTTCTATTGTTGTTTTCATTATGACTTCCACTGATAGTATTAGTTTTGTTCCAACAACAAATGGCAAGTCCCCGAATTTTCTTCTGCCCATTAAATAATCCTCATTTGACCTTGTCATTGTTTTTCTTTTCTTCTTCTTTTTTTTAACGTTTATTTACTTTTGAGAGTGAGAGAGCAGGAGTGAAGGGGAGGAGCAGAGGAAAAGGGAGGCAGAATCCAAAGCAGGCTCCAGGCTCTGAGCTGTCAGCAGAGCCCCACATGAGGCTTAAACCCACGAACTATGAGATCATGACCTGAGCTGAAGTTGGCTGCTTAACCAACAGAGCTCCCAGGCGCCCCCATACCTTGTCATTGTTTTTCTAAATGAGATCTCTGCCTTTGAGTTGACCTTCCTTCCTCTATTTGGTCACCAGGACTTAAAGATTCTTTTACCAAGTGTCTTTGTCACAAGGCTCTCTGACTCAGTTGTTCTTGATGTGAGGTAGTAGATGAGACTCACTTTACAGTTAGACTTGCTGAATTTCTCCAATGACCTAGAGTCCCTTATGGCTTCCACTTGAAAAAGGTTAAACGTCAGACTCCTAGGCTTATATTCAACACCTTCCTGTTGTCTCAACATCTTGTTGGACACTCGCTGACAGACAGAAAACGTCATTAATATGCAACAATCCTTTCTGTAACAGAAATAGCTTCCCTTTTCTTCTCTCCTGAAGTAGACTTGTTTCATGCTTATCAGACGAAACCTTCCATGACTCTCCTTTCCAAACTGAGGGGCTCTTGAATTTGTAACACTTCTGTGCTCCCAGAGAACTAGTTTAGATTTCTTTTAATTAAAATTCTATGATAACAAAAAGTTAATGCCCTGGTCACAGTATAGTTATTTTTATATCTGTAGGACAAGAGCTAAATAAAACATGTGGCACCTAACATAGTACTCAGTATATCAACATCAGGTGCCAATGAAATGGTTTATTTACTTTCTAGGACTTTATAAAGTACATCCTCTGAGGCAGACATTTACTAGGTTCTGGAAATACAGGTATCAAAGATATTCTTTGCCCTGAGGGAGCTCATAGTCTAACAAAGGAGACACATTAACGATTATATTATAGTATGACAGTTGTTAATTTATTTGTAGGTACAGGATGCTAAGTGAGCAGGTCTGAGACATACCTAACTGGGGCGAGAGTATCATGTGACCATCCCTGTGGGAGATGCATGGACTGGTTCTTAATGGCTTGTAAGGATGGATTGTAATGATGGATGCAATATATAGTAAGGAAGAAATGCAGATCTAGGCAGTGAAAAAGTATACAAAAGAGAGAAAACAGGATATTTTTGCGAGTGTACAGGTGATATGGTAGGGCTAGTGCAGAAGCCTACACGGAGAGGGGAAAGAAAAATAGAAGGTCAGAGTGCTTTTCTTAGACAAAACCCCAGAAAGTACCTACCTGCATTTAAAATGGTAACACTAGAAACAGTCTTCAGGTATTTGAAAGACTGAAATCTAAAGATAGAGGTATATTTATTCTAAACCTTAAGAACTACCATCAGGATCAGTGGGTGAGAGTCAAAGAAATAAAGATGTGGTTGAGAATAAGAAATAATTTTCTAGAAACAAATTATAAAGAAACAAAACACCTCAGTAACAATGATGTTCACAGCCACGTTGAGAATGGATTCCTAATTTTTATCAGATATCCTTGTATAATGGAATCCATTTTAAGCAGTGTGAATCACTTTCTTTTGTTGGATGACAATGAATTTCTCACTGAAGCTGTGGGCATTCCAACCTAAAGCAGGCAAGCAAAGGCAGACTACATCATTTAAAGTCTTTCTCTCTCCTGAATTCCTATTCTACTAACTGTATATACAACTTGCAATGTAATGTTTAGTAACATTAGTCAGTACACAATAAATGATATATGTGTAGTAAATGATAAATTAATAAAAGTAAAATTAATGAATATTCACATTTTATAGGTAGTGACTTTGCTTTCTGAGTGCAGCAGTGAATAAGTGTCTTTTCTCTGTGACTTTCAGTGCAAATGGAGTGTGATAAATGAGCATCTTTTACACATTCAGAGCAAATGAAACACTCTGTGTGCATTTGCATACATTCAACCTCAGCCCTATCCATGTGTTTTTGAAAGATTTTACTCAGGAGAGAGAAACATGTTGACTTAAGATAAATTATCCAGCGTTATTATTTGCTACTAATATGAAAGTTTATGCTATGCCACTTTCCTCATAAAATCCTTAGAAAAATGTTGAAAATTTTAAGTGTTCCTTTTTCTCTTGACAGTGGGTCACCCTGTTTTACACTTACCAAATATTAGTAAAAAATAAAATAAAATCACTATTTTGTGATTCTGGGCCTTCTTTCTAACAGTAGAAAATTTTTGAGCTGTACTTACTCAAATCTTAAAATTCTTGAGTTTTTATATTCATTTTTCAGATTACTTGATTGAAAGACATCATCTATCTAAAAAAAAGTTTAAAAAACAGTGTATTTAAGATTTAAACTTTTATAAAACATTTTAAACAAATTGATCTTTTTTTTTCTGTTTAGAATTGGATCATAGGCCGTTTTCTTCTCTGTGGTGATAGGACTCATATATTTAAGAATTCTGGGCACATTTATTTACTACATGTATAATAAATACATTTATTACATTTATTTACTAATTTTCTCAAAGTAAGAAAATGGGATCTATGTATTTTTTGGCAAGTAGTTAGTGAAACTATGTTTTGAAATTTTAAATCAGCTGAAAAAAAAAAAAGACAGTCTCCTACCATTTGCTGAAGGTCAAAAGCAAGAATTTTGAAATCCGCTGAGAGTTTGTCTTGCAAATTAGGATTATACATGGCTCCAGCTGTTATTTTCAATGTCCCTCTGGCTTTGTGACTTTTTCCAAACACTGCATCTAAATGAATTAATAAGAGATAAAACACTAACAATATGAGTCATGAATAAGAGAGAATATGCACATTCCTGTTGATACTTAGACCTAAGGTTCATGCTTCCTGTGTTGGAGTGGTGGTTCTTGCTTTTTCTTTGCAGACTTCATGTTCCATAATTAGGTGCTTTTTTTTTTTTTAAGCTATATGGTTGTTTTACAAGATTAAAAATAAACTTCTTTATCCTACCATTTTTTTCCTTTTCTTTGAAATCTAACCCACAGTCTAAGCTCCAAGTGTTATTTTATTTTATTTTATTTTTTTACTACTGAGATTCCTGTTGAAAGATAAGGGATAAACTTCCACCAATTTGGAGAACTGATCCAGGGACTCATGGTGAGAAATGGACCATTAAAAGTTTTAGAAGTTTGTAGTTGCTTTCAGATACTTCTTGAACACCCAGCATCCAGGGACACTGTTGGTTTTCTACATGCGGATTGCTGTGAAGATTTCAGTGTATGTGTTACTTTGAAAGATAGATGTGAAACTATTTTTTTTATTCTAGTAATTATAAAGTTGGCATGTATGACCTTTTGCCATTAAATGGTGACTGTTTTTATTGGAAAAGTTGAGAATGCTGCAGGAAATATATTATCCCATATAATAAAAAATGTAAGTGGAAAGGTAATAAATTGAATATAAACATGGGTAATAAAATGCGCCATCAAGTTTTGCATAATCCCTTTACCAGAATATCTTTTTTGACATATGTTTAAATTAAAATGAGACACTTCAACTGAAACACAATGATGAAATCATTAGTAAATATGGTAATAATGATATATAATTCTTACATTACGGTATAAGAAGATGTTAGTTCTCCTTTTCCCAGATGGGGAAATTGGGGCTAAGATTCATTGTGAACACTTCCCAAGGTGATAATGACACAGATGACAGATCTGGAATTTGGACACTGACTGACATACTTTAGAACCCGGGATCTGTCATACATTGACACCAAACTTCCCAGACCAGAAAGAACATTAGAAACAATTTAAACAATAAAGTTGCATAAAGTTCAGTCTAAACAGTTATCATTGCATAATTGGTGGAATATATTATCATTTATGCTATTTTATTTGTTTTTAAAAACTCAAAATTACATTTAGACTTGCATATTTAAATGTGAAATACAAAGAAAGACTGAGGAACTGTCCTGCACTGGAGGAGACTGAGGGAACAGGATAACTGTTCCTGTGTAGAAATCTGGTTTGAATCCTGAGCAGGTAAAGGACATTAGTGGGAAAACTGGCAAAATCTGAATAAAAATGTGTGGTTCAGTCAATAATATTGTACCAATGTTAATTTCTTGGTTGTAGCAATTGTACTACGGATATACAAGATACTGACATTAGGTGAAGGTAGGCGAACGTTATATAAGAACCTACAATTTTTGCAATCTTTTTGTAAGTCTAAAATGATTTTTAATAAAAAGTAAAGCAATGCATTAAAAGTAGCATGGCTTTGTCCTCTAATATTCTATTTTAGATGTAACTCAACTCCTTTTTTTATATTCAGTTATTCTATTAAATCGCATTAAAATTTATAAATATTTATTTTTGTTTTGCTTGTAAAATAACTTTTGTAACTTCATTGAACATTAAGATTCCAATGGACTCTTAAATGATTACACGTTGTTCCAGTTACTTTTAGCGTTTAATTAAGACCAGAGCAGATGCTTTTCTAAAAGTCTAAGTGAACCTCTGTATAAAATATCCCAAATTTTCTTTTTCTTCTAAATACATCCCTTGTATACAGTATTTAAATGGAATTATATTGGACTTATTTTTTAAAACTATAAAGTACTGATACAAGTTTAAACAAATTACTTAACTTTCTTTGTCTCTGATTTCTCACCTCTAAAATAAGGGTAACAATAACAACTAAATCATAGATTTGTTGTAGAAAGAGAATATATTTGAAGATCTTTGAAAAGTTGATGATATAGATAATTTAGGTGTAAATAATAGTTACCTTTCTTTATTTCTGTTTATTAAAAATTGCTATTCAGGCAGTTTGAGACCTAAGTCTACAATTATATCTAAGTTCCCTTGTATTCTTGTAGTGCAAAGTCTACAATTATATCTAAGTTCCCTTGTATTCTTATTGTTGGCTAATAAGAAAATGAAACTGTTATTCCCTAGAAATAAATAATATATTTCCTTTAACCTTGCCTACTTACTGACTTGAATAGTCAACAACATTTTAATATATTTATGATTTAAATTCCATCAGAAGAAATCTGGGCTATGAAACTTAGTTACATGTTAAAACTAAAAAAAAAAAACAAAACTTACTTAACATCTTTTATTTTAAAAAGCTTAGTTTCATGCTTGAATTCTGAATTAAATTCCAAACTTGATACCGAAAGCATCTGAATGCGACATAGGTGTCTTGTCATGAGAGCACAGAAACGGAGAAGACATCCTGGTGGGATAACTGAGATTAACCTGGGCACATTCATCAGAGAGTCTCTTCCTAAACCAAAGCCACAGGGCTTACCTCTTTCTGATCCCTCGATTGCCAGCCAGGACACTGCAAATAATCCAGCACAGAGTGCCACCAGTAAGGCAAAGAGAGCTGCAAACAGGACCTCATAGGTGCTGAGAGAATGGTGCCTTGAAGGTATACTTCTTTTTGACACCATTTTTGGGTTTTGAAAGTATGCCAGTCTAAGAACTGTGAAAGAACATAGACCCCTGCACCAACTGAAGAGCAAAACCTCTCAAATTGTCAAAGATTTGTAAAGCAACAACGTAGGTCTATCTTACTGGTACTGGCTGGTGTAAATGAGTTGTGCATGACCCTTTAGCAACATTATGCCTCTATACATTGAGTAGCTTAAAAAGGGTGGTTAATCTTTAAGAAGATATTAATGAGTAAAGATACGGCCAGAGTTATAAACGTTAATCACCTGAACAGGCCATTTGTTGAGGTGAATGAAATTAAATGCATGTTGTAAACAAAAAGGACCCTTTATCATTTCCGGAACTATTAGGAAAAATAGGAAATTCATGGCAGGCCAATTAGTAATTAGCCACATGCAGTTGATATTTGTGGTGACTTTCTAACAGATCAACTTTGTACTCTCTGGCTCACGTCCTTATTAAGGCATTTCTACTGTTTTATGTAGGTGTAGGCATTCTGAAAATAACTTTTATGTATAGGTGTATGCTAAGCTCAACACATATACTAATAGGTACATCTCTGTCTCTCTTTCTCCCTCCCTCCCCCCACACACATACATGTTTCTTATTGAAATAATAACACATTTTGTAATCTTTGTTATATTACCCATGTGAAATTATGCAATGTAAGGTAGTACTGATTTAACTTAAAACAAAGTCTGTTTTAACAAGGCATCACATGGCTATTCTTTATGGCCTTGTGTGGTTACCAATGAATGGGAGTAGCTGCTGAGAGAGAAAAAAAACACAAAACATTTGTTTCTATTTTAAGGAAGTATTCTGGGTGGGGAAGACATTGCTCACTTGTCCTGAACTTTATCTTTTTAAACACACTAATTATAACAACAGAACAGGTTAGAGAACAGGTCAACCATAGCTCTTTGCTTTATATGAAATCAAGATGGTTTTCTGCTAATTAAAGAACAGTTTATCACTGACACTTCTACATTTTGAATAAATAATGAGTCTAGAATTAAAAATTAATAAACAAAACCTAAATCTATTTGTAAGTAAACCAGTTTGCCTCCCATTCTGTCAGGTGAAGCTGGCCAGAGATAAGGATGTCCTACGTCAGGTTCAGTGCTTGAGCACTGAAATTGTGGCATATTATAATTGGCTGCAATAAGCATCAACCACTTTTCTTTCTTCTTCTGTACTCTTGAAAGAAGAAAATTTTATGTTGCACTCTGAAATTCTTGCTGATAAAAAGTAAGATATAAATAAATACATGTCATGGGATACATTTTTGGTTTTAATTTATCTAAATTAATACTAACTAAATTGTTAAACTCTTTCAAATATGCTGAAGTGAGAGATACTACTGATAGAGTTGGGAGAGGTTCATTTTACTTTTACCCCAGGAGATGATTCTAATAATAGACCAGACCCCTCAATAAAATTGGAGTTTGAAGAGGGACCCATGAATCTGGGGAACCAAGAATTTGGAAGTGAAATTGCTGTTTTCTACATTACAGCTGATGCAGATGCGATTGCTTTTGAGAAATCAGGTAGAGAACTTTGTTATAGTTCTTTGGACTTTGTTATATAAGAGAAGAGACAAGAGCACAATACGTTCACATGCTCTGCTCCAAGCACAGGGTAAAATAGATTAAATATAAGATTGAATACCAAAAATTATATACTTGGTTTCAGAAATGAAATTGGCATTTATATTACAAATTCTCCTGAAATTATATTCTTTAAGTAATTATACTTAATATGTTCACATAAATGAGTGGGAGAATAGCTTTCTTTAAAAGAGAGAATGATTTATGAAGGAAAGACTAAAGTAGAACAAACAGGTTAATGTGAAAAAGAAGAAATCATATGTCTTAAAATTTAAACAATTACTAAAATAAAAATGGAATTTACTGTACAAGATAATAAAACTCATTACAGAGTTATAATAATAAAGAGTGTATGATATTGGTCCAGGAGTAGAAAACATCTTGGTGGGATAGAATAAAGAGCCCACAAACATTCCATTCACATATGGAAACTTCATGGATCAAAAAGATAGTTACTAATAATAGGTGAGGAAAGGATGTCTATTCTATTCAATAAATGATGCTGGGTTGGTTGTTTATCCCTCTCAGGAAAAATAAAATAGACCTGTATCTCACACCATAAAGAAAAATAAATTCCAGGTAGGTTACATATACACAAAAAGTGTAGAAAAAAATTTGAACAAAATATTGAAATATGTCTTTCTGATAATAGGGCACTGAACGAGTTAAAAACAAACAAACAAAAATAATATAAAAACAGGGAGGGGGACAAAACAAAAGAGATTCAAATATGGAGAACAAACTGAGGGTTGCTGGAGGGGTTGTGGGAGGGGGGATGGGCTAAATGGGTAAGGGGCATTAAGGAATCTACTGAAATCATTGCTTCACTATATACTAACTAATTTGGATGTAAATTTTAAAAAATAAAAAATAAAGTAAAAAAATAAAATAAAATAAAATACTGATACACAGCCAAAAACAACCCCGAGGCTTTTTTTGAAGCAAAAGATATCAAAAATAAAATAAAAATCAAGACACATACTAGATCTTTTCTTTTCTTTTTTTCTTTTTTCTTCTCTTTTCTTTTCTCTTTCTTTTTTTCTTTTCTTTCTTTTTTTTTTTTTTCACTGTGAATGTTTTAGTTTGGCTACAAACAAAACAGAATTGAGGCAAAAATTTTTGTATAAATTTCTCAAATTTATTTGGGGGATTACCAAAGGAAACTCTATGAGAGGAGCTGGAAAATAAAAAGGGGGAAATAAAGTCAATAAAGGGTCTATAATCAAGCCATTTACTACCATTGACTCAGGAACATAATTTTGCTGTATACTGTGTGAGACAGTGAGGAAAATTCTCTGACTTATTCCAACTAAAGGGTAATAACTTCTAAGCAGGAAAGAGAGGAGGATAGTGTAGGAATGGAATACCAACCATGAGGGCTTCAATTGTATTTGTATTGTGCTCATTCTCTTAAAATTTTTAAAACAAATTAGTGAACCATTAATGGCAGAGCTAGATGATTAAGAAATATGAGTTAATACTATTCTGCATTTTACCACTGTGTGTGTGTGTGTGTGTGTGTGTGTGTGTGTGTGTGTGATTGAAGTTCCTGTGATATTTTCATTTTTATTAAATGCTCATTAAATTTTTGAAACTTTGTGTGTAGAACTTCCTACTTTGAGAAATACAGAAGTTACAAAAAAGCTCCCATTAACTTAAGTCTTTGAATATCAATGGGAGAGCAAACATTTATTTTAAATGTACACTTAAAATATTTAACCATAAAGGCTAAGTAATGATCTAGATAAGTATAGGTATAATATATTTGGGATGGTGAGTAAGAGAATATATAGCTTTGGATAGGTAAGCATTACTAATACTCTTTTTTAAAAAGTTTATTTATTTATTTTGAGAGAGAAAGAGAACAACGTGTGTGGGGGAGGGAAGAGAGAAGGAGAGAGAGCATCCCAAGCAGGTTCCATGCTGTCAGCACAAAGAAACCCACACAGGGCTTGATCTTACAAACTGTGAGATCATGACCTGAGCTGCAGTCAAGAGTTGGACACCCAACTGACTGAGCCACCTAAGGGCCCCAGCATTACGAATATTCTTAATGATGCTTTCAGTGAGGATATAAAAATTGTGGCCATCTCAGTGATGGGAATGACAGTTTCTGGTTTGGTGAATAATGAAGGAGGAAGAGAGTTGAAGATCATGAGAGATGGCGTAGGTAGGGCCAATGCTGAACATTTGGGGACTTCTATGAGAGGGTTATAATTATCTTTGTCTGGAATGAATGAAAGGATAAAAATAGGACAGCTAAGAAAATTAAACTCTTCTTAATGTTATAGAAGCAAAACGACCAGAAGGTTAAGTTTCATGGTGCACACCATAATCTATGCATTTGCTCAACAAATACGTGATTTTATACCCTGGCTGTCCTAGAGAGCAGTAGTAATTGCAAAAGATCTCTAAAGACTAAGCCATGAGCACTATAGAAATTTTCTTTCCCTATTCAGCACAATGTAAGAAACTCCTGGCAGCTTTTACCTTTAAATGATTTCCTGTGACTGGGTTGTTATCAAAAAAATTTCTTGAATTAGGTTAAACAAAAAAAATATATAAAACAAAAAAATATATATTGTTCAACAAGAATACTTTCGGAGTTTTTGCAGATAATTTTTGTCTCTGAAAACGTGCCCACATGCCCAGTGTTATAAATCAATTAACACTTAGCTTAGTCCTGTGATTCATGGTTCAAAGGTGACAGAACCTTAAGAAATTCACATTTGCTTCTCTCCAAGACTGCTGTATTTCTTTTCTTTGATTCCCATACAATTTTAATACATTATCCTAATATCTAGTTGATAAGCTTCTTCATATTTTAGGTATTGCAAGAAGACAGCGATCTTCCTTTGTATAAAGTTGGGGGACTATTTAATAAACGTCTTGGGTTAAAAAAAAAGGATAGGAGGAGTAGGCCTTTAAATATTACTAAATATCTTTTCAGTGAGGATCCTTAGGTACTATAATCCCAGAGATTTGTTTGCTGAATATTGTTTTCTACTGTTTTGACAACTTGAAGAAGAAATGTGTCTCAGTATAAAAATGTGGTGGCATCTTGTTTTTCTCTCAGAAGCTTGTAGCTGTTTTTCTGCTTTCTCTAGCCCTGGGTATTGAACTAGTCCTCTTTTACGACAGTTCCATTCATCTTTTGTTTACATGTATGTCATCACCAGCCAGCTGTTTGTTTGCTTGTTTTGTTTTTGTAATTTTTTTTTTTTTTAGAAGGGCAGGCTGGTGGGTTGTATATTCCCTGAGTTCCTTTGTATATGACAAACCTTTATCTTTTCTTTTATACTTGACTGATACATTTCTAGGGATAATATGCTTGGGCAAATGACTAGCTTATTTTTGTCTTGGATTTCTGAAGATATTTTTCTTATATTGTT